TATATATATATGTATCTATTCTCGTGGCAACATGGCTGCAAAGTTTTGGATTCAAGTTCCTCATCAATAACCATAAAAGAATATCTTAACGTCTTTGTTTATCCTTAGATTGAGAATCCAATAAAAATTTGTGTGTTGATCCTACCATTCACTTGACACTATATCAACATTAGATTTATAAAATGTCTAAAATATCTAAATATAGTAACATGATACTTTATAAGACTTACTTTTATAGGATTAAATAAAAAAGTTTTATCTAAAAATGTTACAATAGGTTCATAAGACGTTTTTGGATGTCTTAATAAGCTTCTTAGCATGTTTTTAAAAAAAGTGTTGTATAAACACAATTTTCCTATAAAAAATGAGTTTACCTTAAAAAATAACTAATACAGACAGTTTATTTAAAACGTCCAAAAAACTTATTGAATGTCAAAACGTCCTATAGACCTATTATTGCAACACTTCTAATTATGATATTTTTGTTTGTCCTTAAGTCTTCTAAATTATCTTATTAAGACATAGACATCCTATAAATTCAATTTTATTGTAGTATAATGAGACATCAACATATCTTATTGATTATATGTTTATTTTATTCATTATTTTATTTTTTTTCAATAAAATATTCATTTGTCGGCACATGATTAGTGAGTGTTGGGACAAAAGATTTTTATTCATTGAAAATTTTAACCTTTATGTTGAAGAAACAAAGTGTGTGCCAATTTGCTTTTTCATAACCAGATGTTTACAAGATGGTTCTATTAATTGAAGGTTCTGAACATTGATTATTCTCAAAATAAAAGACAAAGTTGGTTGATGAAACCATCTCACAATTTAACATCCAATTATATATATATATATATATATATATATATATATATACTTTGGATCACGTGAGACCAGTATGTTTTTGTAAGACCCGTGAGACCACCTTTTTACACTTGAAACTTCACAGCAAAATGCTGTGAAGGTAACCTTCACAGTGTTTTGCTGTGAAGGTTCGACTTTTTTAAACCTTCACAGTGTTTTTGCTGTGAAGTTTCAAGTGTAAAAATGTGGTCTCACGAGTCTCATGAAAACAAGCTGGTCTCACGTGAACCTAACCCTCTATATATTAATTAAATGCAAACTACAAATATATTATAAATCTATAAGAATCAATATAAAAATATGTTTTTACATGATTTTTCATCAAAGTTTATTATTTAAGATATTATTTCACATATGTTTTTGTTCATCTTATGAAAATATTACATATGTAAAAAAATTTGGTTCACCAAGTGAAATGAAAAATACATGTAAAAAATAGTCACATGGTAAAACAATTACATATGAAATCTTATTATTATGAAACAAATATATGTGAAATAATATCTTAAATCTTAACATTTAATGAAAAAATATCATGTAAAAAATATTTTTATATCGGTTTTCATAGATTTATAACATATTTTTGATTCTCATTTGATTTAACCCATATATATATATATATATATATATGTATGTATATGTATGAATGCATGCATGTATGTATGCACCTATGAGTGTACGTGTACGTGTATGCATGTCTTTGTGTTTATATATATGTGTGTGTGGGGGGCATATAATCAAATGAAAATCACACAAAATTGAAAAGTGTGAGAGCGTTGATCATGTGTTATTTAACATTGTAAACACAATAATGTGAATGCACAATTTTGTTTTACAATACAAACAAAAAATACTGAAAAATAGATATTAAAAATAATCGCATTGATTTTCATTATAATAACTTTTAAAAATGTATCTATCTTTGATAACTTACACTTTCTAATACATTTTGAGTGCAATAATGTTCGAAATTAACTTATTTTTAGAGTAAATTACATGTTTCGTTCTTGTGGTAATATGTTTTTAAATTAACATATCGTGTCTCTATGGTTGTATTTTTATAACGAATTAGGTCTTTAATCCCATCATACGGACTCACAACGTTGATTTATCTAGGAACTGAACTCATAAAAAACTACAACCATATGGACTTGACTGGTTACAAAATGCAATAACAGGGATGTAATTAGTTAAAACACAATCACAAAGACACGTTATATTGAACTTTGAAAAATGAGACGATGACCGTTAAAGGACTCCTAATCACAAGGATGAACATGTAATTTACTCTTATTATTATGAACAACGGTTTTTAAAAACGACCGGTTGTTCTTTTCAAAAATTTAAAATAAGTAGCCGATTTTCACATTGATTTCTTTTCTAACATACATCAACATCTAATAATTGACATTTTAAATCAAATGAACACAATATAAAATCCATAGTAAATTAAATGTTTCGTCCCTGTTGAGTATACGTATTTAATAATTCTTGTTCCTTCTACAAAAATTCAACGGATCGTGTCTTTATTATTGTAATTTCACAAATTTGGTTTTTAATGCAACCAAAGAGAACCAGGTCGTTAATTCACTGAAACATCAAAATCATTAAAAATATACAATCACATGGACCCAATTCATTACAAAAAATGCAACCACCAGAAGGATGGAGCACGTTAAAAAAATACAATTACAAAAGACACGTTCCGTTAGAAACATTTCAAAAAAGAAAAATATCGTTAAGAACATCTAACCGGAGGGAAAAATAATGTGATTTACTCCTAAAATATAAAAGGATAATATGGTAACTTTTACATTTTAGTTTCTTTTACAAATATAACAATTTGTAAAACATTTTTTGTGGCAACTTCTTTATATTATAAATTTTGGTCATATTTTAAAATGATTAAAATCGAAAAGTAAAATTATATATCAAATATCGGATCGAACCAAAAGCAAAATAGAAAAAGTTTTGATGGATGAAGAAGACAAACCTGAACTTCTGGAATTGTTCCTCACTCTTAACCTCTCGCCGTCGTTCCGCGACAGCCATGGCAGATCGAGACCAAGCAAACTCCTCTCGGTCTCCGTCGCGGCTCCACCTCTCAGCCAACAATCCAAAACAGAACTCAGCCTCGGTAAATGCGTCCTGCAGATCCTCCGCCGATATGCCATGACCGCTGACCTTAAACACACCATACTTAGCAGCGGAATCCAACATCTCTTGGATCGATTTCTTATCCTTGGATTTGATCAATCGGTATTCCAGATCAGCAATGGTCGGTCGATTGAGATCGTCAGGCAGATCAAATTCAGGGATGTTCTTTAATTTGTCGACGTAATTGTTGAAGGCAGGATCGGAGCGGGAGGTGGTCCTAGAGTTGGGCATCGGAGACGGGGGTTGTGACGCCGCGGAGGACGACAGGCGACTCCTAATACGGGCGATGGCCATAATTGGGAGTTTGTTATGGAGGGGAAGAATGTGTGATGAAAATGGGAAAGTTTACAAACAAGAGCTTATAGTTATGATATGGCGCATTTTGTGGAATCTCAGGGTGGCAGCCACGTCTCAATGCATATATTGCTTGTATGTTTTTATGCATACCTTACTTGTACGTTTTAGCACCTTGTCGGATTTGTTAGTTTTATTTTTTTTAAAAGAGTAAAAACTTCATGTTTGGTCCCATTGGATTCATTTAAATACAAAATTTGTTTTTGTAGTTTTTGACTTTGTTTATTATTTTTTTATTTTTTTATTTTTTTGACTTTATTCGGTTTTGGTCCTTTTTGATATCAATTCTCATTCTTAAATTGAAATAACTACACTTTTGGTCATCATGGTTGTCACTTTGTTAAAGTTTTGACATTCTAGTTGTCATTATTACAATTTTGGTCTATGTGATAGCTACTTACTATCAAGTCTCATTCCTAAATGGAAATAACTACACTTTTGTTCAAGACTCTATGTCTTCAATACTGTGTTTCTGCTTCAACAGGTTTATCTTTGGTTGATTGCTCTCGATGCCCAACTGCAAGTCTAACACGTACCTGAGCATTATCTGACGGAACATGAAACGCTTGATAGCTTCTAGAGCTATTTGCACGTTTTCCGGTCTTATAGTCTGCTGACAGATGTCCAAGTACATGGTTTCGAAGTGTTCGAAAGATAAGTGACCGAAGTCAGCTTCTGAGAACATCCATTCCTTGTCCTTGGTTCTGATAACGGTAAAGATTGGGAATAAGATGTTCACGAGTCTGTCAGTATAGATGTTCTTTATCCCCACAATCTTGATCCCTTGACCTAGCCATCTCTAGCGGTTGAGCTTTAGCCTTTAGCATGTGTATATACTCAATGACCTGAATGCTGTTGAGGTGAGTGATACAATTCTTCTGACGAAGACTTAGATCTTGGTATCTTCAAGGAATGGAACCCTGATTCTTGTTCTCTACCACCCTCGTACATGTGTAAGTGCTGGAGTACTCGGGCCCGGAGTTATCTGACTTGTTGGAGGTTGGAGAATCGATCGATCTCTTGGAGGTGATTCTGGGAAAGCTTCATTGAGATCGTTGATGTGGTTGAAGTCCCCTTCTTTAAGCATTTCATCGTCAGAGAACTTAAAGAGGTTGTCTATTTCTTCCTTGATTTGCTGAGGCTGAGGCCTTCTTACTTGAGCAGTAGTAGTAGACGGTTCAGCACTTCGATCTTTAGCAGCCTCTGGGTTTTCAAAACATTGGCCTTAGTTCCACCTCGGCCGCTTCGGTGGCATCAGGTTGACTTTGACCTTGTTGTTCATCAAATATCCCATTAATGTAGGATCGAAAAACGACCAAAGGTAAACACTATCGCAAGTAATTCTTTCTACATTATAGTATAATTCAATTGAGCTTCAACAAGAGTCTTACTTGCATAGTAAATGCGGTGAAAAATCTTGTTCTTTCTTTTTTCAAAACCACACCTACGGTCCAATCACTTGCGTCACACATAACCTCAAAATGTATGGTCCAATTTGGGGTAATGATAATAGACGCCGAGATAAGAGTTGTTTTGATTGTTTCAAACGCCTTTTTACATTCGAAAATAAACTCAAAAGTTTGGTCAACATGCAATAAGTTACATAAGGGTTTTGCAATTTTAGAAAAATCCTTAATAATTCGACGATAAAAACCCGCATGTCCCAAACAACTACAAATGTCTTTGACCGAAGTTGGTTCGGGCAATTGCATTATTACCTCAATTTTATCTTTGTTAACTTTCAAACCCTTTTTAGAAACCATATGACGCAAAAAGATTCCTTCTTGTACCATAAAATGTCATTTTTCTCAATTTAAAATTAAGTCATGAGTCTCACATCTTTCCAAACTTTTCTGTAAGTTTTCAAGACAATTTTCAAAATTGGTGCCAATAACCGAAAAATCATCTATAAAATCTTCTATGGTATCCTCAATCATGTCTGAAAAAATTGACATCATGCAACGTTGGAAAGTAGTCGGTGCATTACACAAACCAAATAGCATACGTCAAAAAACAAGAGTTTCAAAGGGACAAGTGAAAGTGATTTTCTCTTGATCTTCGGGTGCAATGTGAATTTGGTTGCATCCCGAGTATCCATCCAAAAAACAATAAAATTCTTTTCCGACTAATCTATCTAGCATTTGATCAATGAAAGGCAAAGGGAAGTGATCTTTCTTAGTAGCTAGATTCAATTGCCTATAGTCCATGCATCTTCGCCATTAGGTGATGGTTCTACTTAGGATAAGTTTGTTTTTGTCATTGGTGATAACTGTGGTACCACCTTTCTTTGGCACACATTGTACCGAACTTATCTGTTAGGACTGAATTTCAGTGTAAAATTATATTCGTCTTGAAAGTTAATTTTGTCTATAATTGTATTAAAAGTCATCGTGTTTGACTTTTCTTAGGATAGTTTGACTTTGACTTTGTCTAGATGTTTGACCTTATATAAAGGGTGAGTTCCTTGTATTTTGGTAAGAAACTTATTTGTAAAAATCTCACGTACATAATAAAGTTGACTATTTGACAAATCCTCTCAAGTCTCCTTCTACATGTTCTTATTGAATATCATCTCTCCCATGGATTCTCAAGTGTTCCATTGAAGATTGATCATATTAGGGACTATCAATTGGTATCAGAGCGAGTTTGTAGTGAGATTGATTGAAGATTTCATCAAAGAGTTAAAAATTTTCTAGAAATTCAGATTCTGTTCTTCTTCTTCAATAATATGTTCTTGATATGTTCTTCATGGTTTTCATATCTGTCTACTCAAATCTTTCATCTTTTTGTGTTTGTATGTTAAAAAGATGATCGTTGTGTGCGTTTTTGGATTGTGAATCTTTATTATTCACAAGATTTCTTATTTTGATCATCCATCTTAAAGAATTGATGAATTTTGTGATTTCTATAAAATCTTGGTGTTCTTAAATAAAACTCATAAAATCTGGTTTTTGATCCATTTTTGGTAAAATTTGTTGAATATTTTGTGTTTGTGATGATTTTCAACTTAACCAGATTCAAGCTTCCTTGCACATATATTGACTGGATTAATTGGTAAATCGTAGCTACTTTGATCGATTTAGGCATAGCTTTGAACGATTTAGACTTTGTCTTGATCTTAGGCTTGAGCGGAGTTGACTGGATACAGCCTTGAGCGAGTTAGTGTTACATCGCACACCCCTTGAACGGAGTTGATCGAATCCAGGCACAACCTTGAGCGAGTTAGTGTTACATCGCTCACCCCTTGAGCGATTAAGACATTACCTTGAGCGATTTAGGCAGTGCATTGAGCGATTAAGAGCTTAGGTTTGAGCGATTAAGACTTGGGCCTTGGGCGATTTAGCTTAGGTCTTGAGCGATTAAGAGCTTAGGCTTGAGCGATTAAAACATTGTCTTGGGAGATTTAGCTTAGGTCTTGAGCTATTAAGAGCTTAGGCTTGAGCGATTAAAACANTAGGCTTGAGCGATTAAAACATTGTCTTGGGAGATTTAGCTTAGGTCTTGAGCTATTAAGAGCTTAGGCTTGAGCGATTAAAACATTGTCTTGGGCGATTTAGCTTAGGTCTTGAGCGATTAATAGTTAAGCATTGAGCGGTTTAGACACTTCCTTGAGTGATTTATACTTTGTTTAGTTTCAGCCTTGAGCGATTTAGTTTTAAGCTTGAGCGATTTAGTTCATAGCTTGAGTGATTTAGTTCTTAGTTGTGAGCTTTGAGAGGCTTAGTATTTGAGCAATTTAGTCTTATCTTTGAGAGGCTTAGTCTTTGAGCGATTTAGTCTTAGCTTTGAGAGGCTTAGTCTTTGAGCGATTTAGTCTTAGCTTTGAGAGGCATAGACTTGAGCTTAGGCACACTTTTGAGCATTTTAGACACTTTTTCACTACATGATTTGTTTGAGCCTAGTCTAATTTTTGCTAAACATTTCTTTTTGATCAAATTGAATTTCAAGGAATTTTTGTGAAGTGTGAATTTTTTTTAATTAAGTGTGATTGTGTAATATTTTTTTTGGATTGTATTTCTTTGATCAATTTCTTGAACTGCGTAGATTATTTATTTGATCAATCTTGAATTCTTTTTAATGGAAGTTTTTCTTGAGAAGGAGAATAAAGAGTTGAGAGTTCAGATTTCCAAGCTGGAGAAGAGTTTAGTGGACTATAAAGACAAATACATAAGCATATTTTTTGAAAATCATGCTAATGTAGAATTTATTGCAAATTTACAAAAAGAGCATAAAGAAGCATTAGAAAGAGTTGAGAATGATTCCAAGTATCAGATTAATAAACTTGAAAAATCTTTGGATGATGTAAGAAAAGATTGTGATAATGAATTGAAAACATGGAGTAAATCTAATAAAGATCTGTTTAACAAACTCCATAAAGTCCAGAGTGAATTTAGAGCTGAAAGAAATTCTTCAGGTAGAAAACATACTGAGACTGATGACTTAACTGATAAATTTCATAAGTCTGAAAGTGATCTGATTGAGATAAGAAAGCTACTGAACTTAGAAAAAGAAAAGGTTTTGGAAGCTGAAAAGAGTTTCAATGTTGAAAGAACAGTTTTTGAAAAAGAGAAAAAGAGATTTATTGAATTAGAGAAACGATTTGATGTTGAATGCTTATCTTATGAAAATAAGATTAATTCTCTTGAGCTGAATGCTAAATTTCTTTTGAATCAAATCTTATATTTTGAACAACTTATCATCTTGGAACGAGCTAAGGTTGATAAAGAAAAGAAAGAGGCTGAACAAAAGTAGAAAGCACTAGATGAAGAGAAAAGACTGTTTGTTCTTGAAAAGAAAAACACTGTCAAGAAACATGTAGCAATTGCCAAAGAACTTACAGAAAAGAAGAAGTGGCTAGACATTGCTTCCGAGAATGAGAAGGGTAGTTCAGATGAAGAAAGAAAGGAATTTGAGAAAGAACATAAAGTATTTGAAAAGTT